CCCTAAGCCTAGCACCCCCATACTCAGCAGCAGCGACGGCTTCTCCAGCATGGTCAACCCCTCAGCGTGCGAGGCGGCGACGTCGGCAGCGAGGGCAGCGGCTGCAATGGCGGCGACAGCGGCAACGGCGTGCTGCGGCGAGGCCAGCGGCACCAGCCGCGGCAGCGTCGGCTTCGACGACAGTTGCTGCGGCGTCGGTTTCGACGATGGCTGCGGCGGCGACGGAGCTCGCAGCACTCGGCGGCATGGCCTGACTCCGCGACGGTGGGCAGGCCCGCGCGAGTCAGCCGTCAGCTGCGGCGAGGAAGAGGGGATGCAGGGGAAGGGGGCGGGGCTTTGGCAGCGGAGCCAGGGAGCATGCCGCCCTGTGTGGCGCGCTGGCTACATGCGGGCATGCTGACCAGCGCTAAGACCGGGCGCTAGTCGCTGCCGTCCGTGTGCTGGCGCGTTGACGCTGCCACGGCAGCACGACGACGCTGTTACTACAGCATGACATGGCCATGGCGGCGGCGCGAAAAGGACAGGAGGGAGGAGCGAACGTTGCGGAACCGTAATGAGCAGGCCCGAGCAGAAAGACCTGCTCTGAAACCATGTTGAACAAGCTAAGATAGGATGGAAGCCATGGAAATAGCGTAAGGGTTTAGGATAGGAGAAAACTGTTGAGAGAAAAGAGAGTGGACTAGAACAGAAAGGGATACAAGAACGGGGTTGTACCCTCTACAGTAAGATCCAATAACACCTACCAAGCCTATATATAACATATATAATTTAACAGTCAGCACTATCGATTGATGCATTGGAATAAGCCCGAGCTCGTCGAGCCCTGCTCTTAAAGCCCGAATCTCACAATTGCAACTGTAAAACTTTTGGTACCCAATTACGTGGCCGAAACAATAGGGAAAGGTTGAAAGAAACGACGCCCAGAGCAACGGAAGGTAGGGGGAAAGCAAGCGTAAAATTGACAGCAGAAATATGAGACTGAGCGAACACTGGGAAAACCGCCGACTCAAGGCCGTTCGATCACATTGGAAGACGGGTCTGACGGGCAAGGAGGTTTGTAAATCGAATCGACGGTCATTACCGAAGTAGAAAGTGAGGGTGAAACCATTTGGATTCTCGGCCGTCAGATCTGCAAGGCTGCACGAAATCGGCTGGGAAGTTTGTCCCGAGCCAACCTTAAAGCGAGAGGTCGAAATAGTGAAGGCGGGTCCAACTTGAAAGGGCCCAGACGTCCGTTTGTGCGACTAAGGGACAAAACTGAGGTGGGGCAGAGGTTACACTGTCGAGAAATGCGAGCAGGGGGAAATTGGGTGAGAGGAGGCAGTTACCTGATTGGTTGGCAGAAAACACATGACGTACTGTGGGAAACGTGGCTCAGGAAAAATCGCAAGCAGCGCGCCATCTGTCGCCCAGCCCCCACTGCCTGTAAGCTGCACCAAGTGGGCCCAACTTGAATTTCAAGTTGGACCGAGGTTCACTACTCCGGCAAAAACGAGACTGGGCCCCAATTGGTTGAAATGCTAACTGCGCAAATCTGAAGTCGTAAAATCGATCGCCGGTGCGAAATCTCGCAAGCGCAATTCGATTTCGCGGCCTACGGCTTGGTAAAAAACGCGGGCTGCTGCCCGCCCCTCCAAAAACATATTCACTGTTGGGTCGTTTCTAGTTGGGCCCAACTAGAAGGAGGGGTCACTATCATAACCTCTCGCTTTAAAGCCCCAAGCTAAAATAGCTAAGGCAGGCCCAACTTGAAAAATAATGCTTCAAAATTTGACTAAGTATTGTGGCCCCTTGTTTTTCGTCTGAAACGGCATTGTTCCGGAAGTAGATTGGGCATGCATATGAAATTGCATTGTCGCATGTGATTGGCGCAAAATGAAGAGCACTCGCTCATAGCTCGCAATTCGACGCGAAAAACTGCATGACCTTTCGTTCTTGCAGCAAAATCCCAGTCACAACGTCGCAACGACGATTGGGACGTGCAATTGACGCATACGACGCGCACACCGCGCTGGGTCGTTTGCACGACTCTCAATCGTAGAAGCGGGCTGGGCCAAGCTGATTTCAAGTTGGGCCCAGGTTTGCATTTAGAGGTGACAATTACTAGAACGAGTAAGGCACACCAAACAAGAGACGTAAGCTAACTTGCGTATGCGCCGTATCCCAATCAGATGTGACCAACCTCTCTCCGCGTCGTGGCTCGCATGGCGTGCTAGCTGCCCAGGCCCGCGGCGAGCTAGCAGCCTAGGCGCGTAGCATACTAGCTGCCTTGGCGCGTGGCGTGCTATCTGCCTAGGCGCGTGGCGAGCTGGCTGCGTATGCGTGTGGCATGCTAGCTGCCTAGGCGCGTAAGAAGCTAGCTGCCTAGGCGCGTAGGAAGCTAGCCGCCTACGCACGTGAAGCTGGCTGCCTAGGCGTATGGCGGGCAAGCTAAGCACACATTGAGCTAGTTGTGTAGGCGTGTGGCATGCTAGCTGCCTAGGCGCGTAGGACGCTAGCCGCCTAGGCGCGTGAAGCTACCTGCCTAGGCGCATGGCGTGCAAGCTAAGCACACACTGAGCTAGCCGCGTAGGCGTGTGGCACGCTAGCTGCCTAGGCGCGTAGGAAGCTAGCCGCCTAGGCGCCTGAAGCTAGCTGCCTATGCGCATGGCGCGCAAGCTAGGCACGCAGTGAGCTAGCTGCGTAGGCGTGTGGCATGCTAGCTGCCTAGGCGCATAGGAAGCTAGCCTCCTAGGCGCGTGAAGCTAGCTGCCTAGGTGCATGGCGCACAAGCTAGGCACACAGTGAGCTAGCTGCTTAGGTGCGTAGTGTGCGAGCTGCCTAGGCTCACGGTGATCTACCTCACTCGGCGCATGGTGCGCTAGCTGCCTAGGCACGTGGCGAGCTAGCAGCCTAGGCGCGTGGCAAGCTAACAGCCTACACCCGCAGCGTGGTAGCAGCCTAGGCGTGTAGCGTGCTGCCAAGGCGCCTAAGAAGCTAGCACGCTAGACGCATGGCACGTAAGCTGGCTAGGCGCACAGCGAGGTATTTGCGTTGGCGCGTAGCGTGCTAACAGCCTAGGGGCACGGCGATCTCTTCTCTCGGCGTGTAGGTGTAGCGTGCTAGCTGCCTGGGCGCAAAGCGAGCTAGCAGCATAGCCGCGTAGTGTGCTAGGCCAGAGAGAACTAGCTCCCACTCTCCCTCTCCCGCGTCGTCCCTCTCTGTTCCGCGTCGTCCCTCTCTGTTCCGCGTCGTCAATCCCTCTCCCGCGTGGTCCCTCTCTCTCCCGCATCGTCCCTCTCTCTCCCACGTCGTCCCTCTCTCTCCCGCATCATCCTTCTCTCTCCCGCATCGTCCCTCTCTCTCCCGCATCATCCTTCTCTCTCCCGCATCGTCCCTCTCTCTCCCGCACCATCCTTCTCTTCCGCGTCGGCCCTCCCTGTTCTGCGTCGTCGTCTCTCTTTCTCTCTCTTCCTCATCGCCCCTCTCTCATCCTCACCGTCCCTCTCTCGTCATCGTCACTCGTCGTGTCTCTCTTCGTCGTCATCCCCTCTTGCTCTCTCTGTCGCCATCACGCTCTCCCAGAATATACGTTTATTGCTCCCTGTTCTCCCTAGAGATAACCCTTTTTTCTGTGTATAAATACGCGAGGTCTTGGGCCCCTGCTGACTAACTCGATCAACGTGGGCTGTTTCACACAGCAATTTCCATCCTCTCGTGCGACATTGGGTTTGTGCATAATCAGACTGAAGCCGTCGCACAAGCAAACATGTACAGTAGCATTCATCGCATCACCCAAATTTCGCTTCAAAAATTGCTCGCCAAAATTGTGGCACGAATCCAACTGCCCGTAAAAAGAGCCCCGTTTTCTTAATAATCGAAGTCCTATTTTTAACTCAATCTGGGCCCAACTTGAAAGTGGTTTTGCTATTTTAGCCAGGGGCTTTAACCGAACCATGTTCTCGTTTTGGCTATTTTGTCAAAACAAAAAAGCATCGCCACATGCGTTTTCATTATCGTCCATTGTATTTGCCTCGCCAACCGCCTTTCCCAACCAAGCGTAAAATACTCGTAATTATGATACGGGGGCTTTAATTTGCGCGTTATCTAAATATCTGGACCATGTCACTAGACGTTAGTGTGCCCTTAGCCTATATATTCTTTGCATGTACCAGCTCTTCTCATTATTATTCGTGTTTTCCGCAATTCATCTCGGTTACTAGGCGTTGGGCTACACCCCGAACGCGCATCCTCCTAGCACCCAGCAGCCCGAAGATGTTCGTGCATGTGCGCCGGATATTCCCCTCTCCACCAGCATCAAAGCCCCACCAAGTACTGGACTGTAGTTGGTTGGTTTTTCTCTGCTCACGTGGGTGGGGAAGAACTTTTTGCACCTGCTGTGCGCGAATCTCGATGGGTCGTGGGATCCCATCACGGTGCGGTGGCCTTAGTTTTCCCCAGACGAGCTTCGCGACCTATCATAGCTCCTCCACGAGTCCAGCGTAGCATATTTGCTCGCATCAGAATGAATTATATTCGCCACGCGAAAGATTCCTCCCTGCAGGGACTGTCAGATCCTCCTGATGACCTGCCCCATCGAATGCGCCCCCAGCCCAAAACGTGAGCCCCACCAGCCACGCTTCTTCCTCCGACGGGCCGCCGCCTTATCCCCCCATCCGCGCAAGACCAACGAGTGTTCCCCAAGTCGGCGGTACCACACGCGCGAAACCCAGCAGGCGTCCCACAAACCTGACAATCAAATCGTCATCGATCAGCGCAAGCCAATCCCCTCGGTCCGGACGCCAGAGCGTCACCGTGGCTCCATTCGAGCCAGATCCCATCGGTTCGGAGCGGAACAGATACCTCTATCTGCTTTTCCCAAATCAACCGTATCAAAACGCACTCAGCCGTGACCAGCCGTGGCCCTCACCACGGCGCAGAACTCTCTTCCTGTCAGAGCGAGGGGTCACTCACGAGGTGTCTGACGTCCTTATCTCCTCGCCACCACCACCAGAATAGTCTGTGATCACGAATTCTTTTGAGCACCAATAAGCTGCCTTACCTCTATCCCAATTACCACGAATTCACTCAGCTGCTGTGTATCAGCTTCCTTTCCCAGCCTGGAAAGCATCTCTCATCCACTCTATCCTTGAAACCAATCATTCTCTCCTACTCAGCGGACTTAGTTTTCCGCTTCTCGGGAGTGTCGTCGCACCGGTAAAGCAGCCCGGCTGGTGGTGCAGCCCGAATGGAGTCCCTCGTCGCGTCCCCACCCCACGTCACGTCGCCGGCTGTCCTCGCTTCGCTCCACTCAACACGCGCCTCCACGTCCCGGCGATTACCTACGGCCACCCTCCCTAACTCCTCTCGACCCATCCATCTTCCATCTCCACACCAACGACGATTCATCGCGTCCCTCTCCTCGTCCCACGCGATCTCTTCCTCCTCCTCGCACCTGATGTCGAGTCCCCTCCTCTCTCGCGACTCCACAGCCGTCCGTCGCCGCCAATCCGCCTCCCCAAAATCCGCGCGGCTCGACGTGGTTGCGGCGGCAACTGTGACGCGACCCGCAGAGAGCGCGTCCGACGACTCCGCGCGGAGCAACAGCAGCAGCATCCACGATGAGCATCATCATCATCATCACGAGCACGAGCACTGCGCGGTGAAGGCGTTGGAGGAGCATCGCCACTTAAGCGAGGAGGACTTTGCGCAGCGATGGGTCGCACAGAAGCGTCGCATCGTGCTCTTCGTCGAGCCCTCGCCTTTCGCGTGAGTGTCTTGCTGAGTGTTCTTCGTTTTTTCGTTTTTCGTTTTTTCGTCACTCTGCTGTCGCACCCTTGTTACGAGACCATCATCGTAGCGAGATTCAATGCGTTCATCATCGCCTGCGCGAAGAAAAAGACATGTTTTTTCCGAAAAGCAAAAAAAAATCCGAATGTAGGTAAAATTACAAGAACCGGTTGTGGCTGTGTGCGTGCAGGTATGTGTGCGGGTACAAGAACCGGTTCCAGAACTTCATCCGCTACCTGCGCGAACACGGCGATGAGGTGAGCGCAACGCGCGGGCGAAAACAGGGGTGGGGGAAGACGCAGGTGGGGGGGAAAATAGGGGTGCGGGGGAAAACAGGGGTGCGGGGGAAAACAGGGGTGCGGGGGAAAACAGGGGTGCGGGGGAAAACAGGGGTGCGGGGGAAAACAGGGGTGCGGGGGAAAACAGGGGTGCGGGGGAAAACAGGGGTGCGGGGGAAAACAGGGGTGCGGGGGAAAACAGGGGTGCGGGGGAAAGCAGGGGTGTGGGGGAAAATAGGGGGGGGGAAAGATGGGTGAGGGGGAAACAGGGCTGGCGACCTCTGCTCGCCCACGCCCTTCACCGCTGCTGCCACTCCCTGCATGCGAGCCGTGCTGCTTCTCTCCGCGTGCAAGCGGTGCTGCCATCCCTCCACCCGTCTGCACCCCGGCACCCACTCCCTTCCCTTCCCGACTTTCCCCTCCCTGCGTCTTGCCTCCCTCGCCCGCGCCCTCCCGCTGGCAGGTGCTAGTGGTGACGACGCACAAGGGCGTGCCGGACCACTTCCACGGCGCCAAGGTCGTGCCGTCGCTCAGGTGAAGCTCTGCTCTGCTCTTGCTGTTCACTCCATTTCCTTCTTCTCCCCTCTCTTTCCTCCCCATCCCTTCCTCCGCTCTCCCTTGCGGTTTTCTGTCGTCCCTCCCGGTCTCATCTCTCCCCTCCCTTTCCTTCTCCCTCTCTCCCTCTCTCCCCCGCCGGCCCTCCCTCCCGCCTCCCCGGTTCTCCCCAGCTTCCCCCTGCCGTTCTATCCCATCCTGCCGCTGTCCCTGGCGCTGAGTCCGCGCATCCTCAAGGCCGTCAAGGACTTCAAGCCTGACGTCATCCACGCCACGTCACCCGGGATCATGGTACGCGATGCTGTGCGGTACTGTGTGGTGCTATGCTGTGCGATGTGGTGTGGTGCGGTGCTGTGCTATATTGCTGGATGCGTGAGTCCCATCCCATGCACCGCGCTCGCAGCAGCTGCTGTGCTGCAGTGTCGAGTCTTAGGGAGGTCACAAGGCCAAGCGTTGTTAAGAATCTGATGCACCGCTTCTTGTTGTGTGTGAACGACTACTGGCTTATGAACCATCGTTCCCTGTCCTACCCCCCTTCCCCACCCCCCTTTCCACCCCGTGCCCCCTGGGGTCTCCCCATTGGGTCCCTGCCTTGCGGTGGGCGGCAGTGCTTTGGCGCGCTGGTCATTGCGAAGCTGCTGAGCCGCCCTCTGGTGTTCTCGTACCACACACACGTGCCCGCGTGAGTGCATGGCGCCATGGCTGCTGGAATCCCGCTCTCGCAGACATGCGCACGCACTTACAGATGCACACAATTGCAGCCGCACACATGCTAATGTACATGCTTACAGTCACACGCAGGCAGCTTTACACAGGGAGCTTTGCTATTTCCACCCCCCTCCCTCCGTCTCACTCCTAATCCCGCCACTCTCCCCTTCCCTTCCACCTCGCTTCCCCTTCTGTTCTTCCGCGCAGCTACATCCCCATGTACACGTTCACCTTCCTCATCGCCCCCATGTGGGCTGTCATCCGTACGTCGCCCCCACCCCATGCCCCTGCCTCTCCCCTCCCATGCTCCTGCCTGCCCTCCCATGCCCCCGCCTGCCCTCCCATGCCCCTGCCTGCCCTCCCATGCCCCTGCCTGCCCTCCCATGCCCCTGCCTGCCCTCCCATGCCCCTGCCTGCCCTCCCATGCCCCTGCCTGCCCTCCCATGCCCCTGCCGCCACATCCTTCTTTGAGGGCCGCACCGCTGCTGGCCTGTTTCTCCTCATCCGCTGCCCATCATGCGTTCCACCGCGCCTCGTCGCCCTCCATCTCCCTCTTCCGCCTGACTTTCCAACCATTGACTCCCTCACCCCCCTTCTCCCTCCTCCCCCCCTCCTCCTCGCTCTCTTCCCCACTGCCCGCTCTGCCCTGCCCCGCTGTGCCGCCTCTCTCCCGAGCGCAGGCTTCGTGCATCTAGCGGCGGAGGTCACCCTCGTCACTTCCCACGCGCTGGGCCAAGAGCTGCTCGAGGCTGGCGCCTCCGCTGGTGAGGCTGCGTGCCGTGTGTTGTGCGAGTTAGGTGCCATGTGCCATGCGTTCTGTCACCATGGGCGATCCAGCAGCCTCCATGCGTCCGTTCATCCATCTATCCGTCCATCCATCCATCCATACACATAACTTGTAGTCATGCGCCCTTCCATTTAGCCTGATCTGCAATGCCCCCCTCTACCCCTCCCCCACCTTCCCCCGCCCCTGCACCCCAACCCCCCTTCCGCCTCTTCCGCCCTTTCCCCGCAAACTGTCTCTGTGTGGGCCTTTCCCCCCAATCCCCCTCCACCGGGCAGCGGAGCGAGTGTGTGTGTGGAAGAAGGGCGTGGACTGCGAAACCTTCCACCCGCGCTTTGCCTCGCACGAAACACGCTGCATGCTCACGTGAGCAAGGGTGCATGGAGCAGGGTGGGGGGAGAGGGGGTGCTGGTGAGATGGCGGGGAGGGGAGGGGGAGCAGGATGGCGGGTAGGGGGGGTGAGGGGGAGTGGAGCTAGGGGGTGGAGGTTGCTGGGATTGGCAGCATGGTGTCTCCATCCGAGTCAAAGCTGGGCAGTAGAGGGGTTTCCTTTCTTTGCTGCACAGCACTGCACATACTCACGCTCACTCCATCCCTCCGCGCTGTGGCAACTCGACTGCCCAATCCACCCCTCTCTCGCCCAGCCTCGCTGCGTCTATTCGCAGTCCGCCTCTTCTCGCTTCGTGAATTGTTCTATTCGCTGAATCTCGTCACGTGTGTCTCTCCCCCTCCCGTTGCCCATCCACCCCTCCCCGCCCCTGGCTGCTGCCGTTCTCCCCGTTGTGCGTTCGCCACGTGCAGGGGTGGCGAGCCCGACAAACCTCTGATAGTGCACGTGGGGCGACTGGGCGCTGAGAAGAACCTTGAGATGCTCAAGCCGTAAGCCCTGCCGCGCGCGCACTCTCTGCACTGCCCACGCACTCTCTGCACTGCCCACGCCCGCCCTCTACTGTGCCCATCAGAATTCTTCATCCTCAGCATCCCACGCGTCTTGCTGCCTCTGTTCGTTCTTCTCCTCGTGTCCATGTTCCCTTGCTCATTCCCCCCGCTGTGCATGTTTCGACCCGCCCCTCTGCTGCGACCTTCCTTGTCCTCTAGCACTAACCTCTCTCCCTGCTTCCGTCTCCCCCGCGCTTCCCATCGCGTCCCATCCCATCCCTGGCAGCATCTTGGACCAGCTGCCCGGCACGCGCCTGGCGTTTATAGGGGACGGCCCGCACCGGCCGACCCTAGAAAAGCTCTTTGAGGGCACGCCCACCGTCTTCACAGGCATGCTCTCCGGCGAGCCCCTCTCCGCCGCCTACGCCTCCGGCGACGTCTTCATCATGCCCTCTGAAACCGAAACCCTTGGGTTTGTGGTCCTAGAAGCCATGGCTGCTGGCGTGCCTGTGGTTGCTGCGCGCGCAGGTGGCATCCCGGACATTATCCACCAGGACGGGGTGACGGGGTTCTTGTTTGAGCCGGGGAACGTGGAGGATGCGACGGGGAAGGTGCGGGCGCTGCTGGAGTCGAGGGAGCTAAGGGAGACGGTGAGGGCGGCTGCGAGGGAGGAGGTGGAGGGGCTGGATTGGAGGGCGAGCACGATGGGCGTGCGCGATGTGCACTATGCCACAGCTGTGCAGCAGTTTCTGAGGAAGAGGGAGGCCAAAGAGTGGCTGCCGTGGTGGGTGAAGGGACGCGAGTGGGCGTGCTTGGTCAAGAGCCTGCTGGGAAGGGGGGAGGAGGGAGGGCAGGTGCAGATGGCGTGAGGAGCGCGATGGGCAGAGGGAGTTGATCAGTGTGAGCTGCATGCGTTGCGTTGCGTGCTTGCATGTGGAGCGGCATCAGCAGCAGCAGCAACAGCAGTGCTGTCTTGTTGTGGAGGGAGCAGGGGGGTGCCCAGGAGGACTTACACACCCTTATTGCGGTCCACAGGAAGGAAGTCTCTTGCGGATTCCCTCTCCTGCTTGCTTTTGTGCTGGACTGACCCTGGTCATAATAACGTTACCATATTTCACTAGATACAGCCCCACTGGAGGATTACAGACCCCACAACTCTTCCCCCCATAAACTGATGCAATTTCCAACTATGCAATTGGCACGTGTTCATAATGAGCCAAAGGGCTGGACACTGGGAATGTTAAATTATATATTTGATATATGTAATGGTAGGCTTGGTAGGTGTTACTGGATCCTACTGTAGAGGGTACAGCCCCCCTTCTTGTATTCCTTCTAGTCCAACCCTCTTCTCTCTCGATATGTTTCCTCCTTCATAACTCACACCATTCCATGGCTCCTCTTCCTAGTTATCCTTGACATGGTTTCAGAGCAAGTTGCCTGTCGTGGGGCAGTAACTGAGTTGAAGTCTCCCCTTCGCGATCTCATCCTTGACAAAGAAATACCGCATGCCGATGTGCTTGGTTCGATTGGCGAACCCATCTTTGTTCGCGATTTTGATTGCGGATTGATTGTCGCAGAATAGCAAGAAGGCGGGCATGGTCGCTATTTTTGCTTCCTCGAGCAGCTCCCGCAGGTAAAGTCCTTCTTTGGTCGCGGTGCAGAGGGCGATATATTCCGCTTCAGCCGAAGATAGTGCAATTAGTTCCTGCTTGCTCGATTGCCAGGAGATAGTCCCGATTGTCAAACATGTTTATTGATCATGTTTTGTATAGACTGTATAGGGTAACCTCCTAGAGGGTACAACATTTAGGTATATGTGCATGTACTCTCTAACTCCATCTATCATTCAATTCCTATTTTGATATGGTATCACGCGTAGGTAGGATCCCCCCCCCACCTACCGCTTCCGCTCATGCCCCCTAGCGCCCCTCCTGGGCCCCGTCGCGCTCCTCCCAGGCTCCCTAGCGCCCCTCCTGGGCCCCGTCGCGCTCCTCCCAGGCTCCCTAGCGCCCCTCCTGGGCCCCGTCGCGCTCCTCCCAGGCCCCGTAGCGCCCCGTCGCGCCCCTCCCACGCCCCGTCGCGCTCCTCCCAGGCCCCCTAGCGCCCCTCCTGGGCCCCGTCGCGCTCCTCCCAGGCCCCGTAGCGCCCCGTCGCGCCCCTCCTGGGCCCCGTAGCGCCCCTCCTGGGCCTCGTCGCGCCCCTCCTGGGCTTCGTAGCGCCCCTCCTTGGCCCTGTAACGCCCCTCCCAGGCCCCGTCGCGCCCCTCCCAGGCCCCGTCGCGCTCCTCCCAGGCCCCGTAGCGCCCTGTCGCGCCCCTCCTGGGCCCCGTAGCGCCCCTCCTGGGCCTCGTCGCGCCCCCCCTTCTGGGCCTCGTCGCGCCCCTTCTGGGCCCCTTAGCGCCCCTCCTGGGCCCTGTCGTGCCCCTCTCAGGCCCCGTCGCGCTCCTTCCAGGCCCCGTCGCGCTCCTCCCAGGCCCCGTCGCGCCCCTTCCAGGGCTTCGTAGCGCCCCTCCAGGCCCCGTCGCGCCCCTTCCAGGGCTTCGTAGCGCCCCTTCTGGGCTTTGTCGCGCCCCTCCTGGACGTGGTAGCGCCCCTCCCAGGCCCCCGTCGCGCCCCTCCCTGGGCCCCTTAGCGCCCCTCCTGGGCCCTGCCGCGCTCCTCCCTGGGCCCCGTAGCGCCCCTCCTGGGCCCCGTCACTCCTGCTCGGCCCCGTCGCCCCAGCTCGGCCCCGTCGCAGCCGCTCGGCCCCGTGGCGCCAGCCCGGCCCCTGTCGCCGCCGCCCGGCCCCTGTCGCACCCGCCCGGCCCCGTCACGCCCGCCCGGCCCCGTCGCCCTCGCCCGGCCCTGCTGTGTCCTGCCCGGCCCCGTCGCTGCCGCCCGGCCCCGTCGCAGCCGCCCGGCCCCGTCGCAGCCGCCCGGCCCCGTCGCAGCCGCCCGGCCCCGTCGCGTCTGCCTGGCCCCTCGTCGCGCCTGCCCGGCTCCGTCGCGCCAGCCCGGCCCCGTCGCGCCTGCCCGGTCCCGTCGCGCCTGCCCCGGCCCTACATACTTCCTGGTACTGTCCCCCGTTCCTCGCGCCGCCTTTGCACCCTCCTGCACTTCCCTGCCCCGCCTTGCACCGCACTGCATCTCACTGCACCGCATTGCACTGCCCTGCACCGCACTGCACAGCACTACACCGCACTCCACCGTCCTACACTGCCCCTGATGGCTGCTGAGCTTCGTTTTGATGCTGAGGGTCAGCCTCTGGAGTTCGAGGCGTGGTTGGCTGACCTTCGCCGCCACCTCACTGGTCAGCGGCAGGACGGCCACCCGCTTTCTGCCCACCTAGACGGTATGCTCCCCTGCCCTGACCCCCCTGCTGTGCTGCCCGCTGATCCCACGCCCGCTGAGCGCGAGTCCACTGCCGCCGCTGCCCTTGCCCGCTCTGTCTGGCTTTCCCGCGATGCCCTTGCTCAGCTCGCCATTAGCAATGCCCTCCCCCCCCCTGAGCGCCCTCGCTTTAGAACCATTACTACCGCCCAGGCCTACCTCGATGCTGTCATCAAGCGCTATTCTACCCCTCCTGCTGCCTCAGTGGGTCGCCTGATCCTCCCCCTGCTCTTTCCTGACCTTGCGTCTTTCCCCACTGTCTCTGACCTCGCTGCCCACCTGCGCTCGATAGATGAGACCTGGCGCGCTGCCTGCACTGATGCACAGCTTAGAGTCCACCAGCCTCCCATGACCTCTACCCTCTACCTCCTTGCCACCCGCCTCCCTGACCGCCTTGCCGCCGCCCGCGACCAGTTCCTTAGCATCCACCCCGTTGCGCTCACCCTCACCGACTTTGTTGACACCCTGACTGTTATAGAGACTCGTCACCGCTCCATCGCTCAGGCGAGCGGTACAGTACCGGTCCCTATCTTTCAGGGTTGTGCCCCCGCTCAGTGTACCTTCTCTGACGGCTCTGTCGCCGTGGCTGAGACTGCTGCTGCGGTGCAGTCCCGCTCGGGGAAGGGCCGCCGCCCCAAGGTTGGGAGCGGCGGAGGCGGCGGGGGTGCGGGTGGGGGTGGTGGTGGAGTCGGGTCGTCCGGTGCCGGTGCGGACGTGGGGACCCTGCCCAGTCCAGCTGCCCCGCTGCCTCCACAGTCGCAGCAGCCGCAGCAGCAGCAGTCGCCGCAGCTGCAGCCTCCGCACCAGCCGCAGCAGCCGCCGCAGACGAGGCAGGCGAGTGCTCTCCCGCCTGGGTGGCCTGGAGCTGGTGGTGGTCGTGCGCGTGGTGGTGTGCCGGGTGGTGGTTCTGGAGGCGGGCGCTGTCAGTACCAGATCCAGACCGGTCCTCGCCGCGACTTCGTTTGCGGTAAGATCGGTCATTCCACTCCTCGTTGTTTTCGTCGTCTGGACGACCTGTTCCGTCAGCGCTTCGGCCCGGCGCCCGACCTCCCGGACTGGCACAGCTTGCTTAGGCGTAGCATTCAGATTTTTGACTTGGACATGGATGCCATTGTAGCAGCCTTGCATGTGATGTATGCTGATGACTCTATTGTGCTTCCCTCTTATTACCCTGTGTTGCCTAGTGTAGATGTGCCTAGCGTAGACTCCCCTGCTGCGTCAGGCGTAGGATCTCCTGCTTTGCTTAGCCTCGGTGCTTCCACCGCTTCACTGCCGCCTCGCGCGACTGCTGCGCTTTCCTTCACCTTGGACTCTGGCGCCTCCCGGTGTTTCTTCCGCGACTCCACGACGCTGACGCCGCTGCCTGTTCCCGCTGCAGTTACTCTTGCTGACCCCTCCGGTGGTCCCGTCGTTGCCCGCAGTTCCACCTCCCTTCCCTGTCCGGCGGTTCCTTCAGGTTCGCTCACAGGTCTGCATATCCCCTCGTTCTCCAGGAACCTAGTTGGTGTCGGCTGCCTCCAGGACCTTGGCGTCACCACTACGTTCCCTGGTCACGAGCGGTATGCTGTCTGTACCGAGGCCGCCACTGGTGCCCCCCTTACCACTTTCCCCCGGGACCCGGTGTCCGGCCTGTTCACACTTGACACCGCGACTTCCCCGGCTGGGTCTTCCCCCCAGGTCGCTGCGTCCACCCAGGTTGCTGCTGCGTGCTCCTGTCGGTCCCTCACTCACCCGACCCTCCTGTGGCACCACCACCTTGGTCACCCTGCACTCCCGCGTCTGCGTCACATGTCCCAGCACGGTCTCGTCCTTGGTCTCCCCGGTTCGTTCCCTGAGTTTCCCTCATCCCCCGCCCCACCGTGCACGCCTTGTGTCGAGGGCCGGCTCCGCCGTGCCCCTCACTCCTCCTCGTTTCCCCCTACCACCGCACCACTGCAGACTCTGCACATGGACGTCTGGGGCCCAGCCCCGGTCCATGGGCCGCGTCGCGAGCGCTTCTTCCTAGTGCTTGTCGACGACTTCACGCGCTACACCACCGTCTTTCCCCTGGAGCGGAAGGCCGACGTGCCTGACGTTCTCATCCCCTGGCTTGTCTCTGCTCGTGTCCACCGCGGTCTCCCTGCCTTGCGCCTCCACTCCGACCGGGGTGGCGAGTTTGCCTCAGGTGTCCTTGGTCGCTTCTGTCGTGCGGAGGGCATCACCCAGACGTTTACCCTGCCGGACTCCCCGCAGCAGAATGGGGTCGCTGAGCGACGCATCGGTTTGGTCATGGAGGTGGCTCGCACCTCCATGATCCACGCCGGTGCACCCCATTTTCTGTGGCCGTTCGCCGTGCGCTACGCCGCTCACCAGCTTAACCTGTGGCCGCACCCCCAGCGGCCGCCGGTTTCGCCGACCCTTCTGTGGACCGGGTCCCCTGGTGACGCGTCTGCGTTCCACGTCTGGGGCTGCCTTGCTCACGTTCGTGCCTCTGGCACGGACAAGCTCACTGCCCGCACCCTCCCCTGCGTCTTCCTCGGTTTCCCTCTTGACGCGTCCGACTGGCACTTCTACCACCCGCCGTCTCACCGCTTCTTTCACTCTCGCGACGTCACCTTTGACGAGTCCGTCTCCTTCTACCGCCGCTTCCCCCACCGTGGTCCCCCGGTTACTCCCCCCCTGTTCCTGGTCCCTCCTTCCCCGGTGGTCCCTGCCCCTCCCCCCCCCCGCCCCCCCGTCCGGCCCCCTTTGGTGTGTCTCACGTCACCCCCCTCCCGTCGGTCGTCCCGGTCGACGAGTCTTCTGACTCTGGTAGTCCTCCGGCGCGGTCCTCGCCGTCTGTCCCTCCCCCGGTGTCTCCTCCTCCACCGCCTCCGCAGCCGCCGTCGCCGCAGCTGCCGCAGCCGTCGTCTCCACCGCCGCCGCCGTTGCAGCCGTCGTCTCCGCCGCCACCGCCGTCGCGGCCGTCGCTGCAGCCGCCGTCGCCGCCGCCGCCGTCGTCGCTG